GTAAATTAGTTTATTCTGTTTTTGTAACTAATTTTTAACAACGATTTTTGTATTCATTGTAGATGTTCTGATGAAGGAAATAAACATTTTCCGAAAGCTTAACAAACAAAAAAGAGTGCATTTTATTTACTAAAAAGCCCTCCATATCTTTGACTGCATCCCCAAGATATTTCTATATTTTTTATATATATATATATATATATATATATATATATATATATATATATATATATATATATATATATTGATACAGTTTGTATTAGTACTTAGATGTAATTATTTATTTTATTTATGTTGAGCGCCTTTATACATATCTACTAATATCAAACTTTATCATTTTTTTTTTTATTAGACTAAAGTGCAATTAGTTAAATGATCATGTTGGAATTTTACCAAGATTATACTCTTTAACTACTTATTTTTTTTTATTCAGATATGTACGAGCAAAAGACTTTTCTTCAGAGGTGTCGGTTCCACAATAATACTTATCAAATTTTATATTTTATATTTTTTTTTTATTTAAACCCCAAATCAAAATAAATTTGTTTAAAAATTGAACATGTTTTTATTCAAATAAAACTTTCAAAAATTGCCAAAAAAAAACATTCCTTGGAATAAGAATAAATCAAAAGAAAATGTAAATGAACAACAACTGACGCAAACTCACTATTTCCACTTCTCTACTTGTTGAAATAGTAGTTTGTGCCATAAACGGAGATGTAGTTTGCGTATTGTTGGTTGTATATCCAAAATACAGTTTACCACAAGACACCGGTTAGATTAGACCTCAATAGCCACTCCCATTTAATTTTAAGTTCCAAAATGACACCACGATCAGACAACAACAAACAATACGGCTCGACTACAGTCAATGCTAATAACTAAATTAAACTATGTACACCTAAAACTACCTTATAACTAATTTAGCAAATGTGTTTTAAAAGTGTTCCTCAAATGCCTATTAAAATGAAAGTTTATAGTTTTGTTTGTGAACCAGTTCAGTTCAATGTTAGGTCCGTATTTCGAATAGTGACAAACTCTTGCAGGAATATGTTTAACTGTCTTTATTAATGTTGTGCATATTATGACTCGGCGAGTCGAAAGGGTAAGTAACTTCAGCACTTAGTGTACACTTGTCAAATTATTATTTATGTCAATTACCTTGTAAAAATGGTAGCTAGAATACCTTTTATAGCTCAATATCTTAACGCAGGGCTCCTTTAATCCAGTTTCTTTGCTCCAATTTAAATGTAATCTGATTTTTACTTCTTTATCCAAAATTTTTGATGTCTGTCTATCTTGTTGATTTATTATCTTTTTTTTTTCTCTGGTAACAAATTGTCATTCATTAAGCTAATTTTTCATACTTAAGTTATATTTTTCCTTGTAGATATCACTTTATTCACTGTTTGTTTTCTTTAACTAGTAACGTTTAAACTGTAGCTTATAACTATTTTACAAATTTTCTCTTTTATTGATCACATCATTATTATTTTTTTTTTTTTTGATTCATTCTATTTATTTCATTTTATAAATTTAAGTTTTAAATTTGAATTTTATTTTTAGTTTCAAATACAATTCATAAATGGTTGACTAGGTATCAATAATACTATACTGAGTGTTCCTTAACTTCAAGTCTCTACAACTTTCGGTAAGTAAGTAAACCTTTTAATTCAAACAATGTTATTTGTATATAACATTGCACTATTCCAACATGCTCATTGTCACTTTATGCTTTTATTTTCTATAACAATATATATATATATATATATATATATATATATATATATATATATATATATATATATATATATATTTTACATTTTTATTGTTCAATAATATCATGAACAACATCCCGTGACATATTAAGAACATAATATTTTATTTTTTGTTTAAATACAAATAGCCTGGTTTCCACCTTAATATCGGGAGGTAACAAGTTATAAATTTTTGGACCTAATTATAAATAATGTCTTTGTCCGATTGCCTTTTGCATGTAAGGGGTAATGTACGCGCCTTTATTTCGAGTAGCATATTTATGACATAGAGTTTGCAATTCTGTTTTATGTTTATATGTAATCATTGCAGTGTTTATAAAATATAATTGTCTAATGTCAAATATGCTACTATTACGGTATAAGACGTTGCTATGGCAGTCGTAACCAGCGTTAAGGATTGTTCTTAGAAATCGCTTTTGTAAAACTTCGAGAGCTGATAGGTAAGTTTTAGATACGCCACCCCAAGCTATTATTCCATAACTAAGGTGAGATTCAACTAAATTTTTATATATAACTATTTTTTGTTTAAAATCTAATATGCCGCATATTTGTTTAAATTTAAATAGTATATAGTGTAGTTTTTTATGAAGGTATTTTATATGTTGTTCCCATCTTAAATTATTGTCTATTATTATGCCAAGATATTTAATTTTACTTGCAGGTGAAACTACAATTTCCAATTTCGAGGTTGTAACTAGGTAGGGCGTTGCTGTAGGAACTAAATGGCAAATAGGTCGTTTTTTTTTTAAATAACTGATAGAAGTCTGAAATCAAACCACATTTTAATTTTTTTCAAGTCGTCTTCTACTTTTAACTTTAGGTTAAACCAGTTGTTATCTTCACAAAACAACACCGTATCATCCGCAAAACTCATAATATCACAGTTTGTGTTGAAAAGGAAATGGTTATTTAAATAAATATTAAAAAGTAAAGGTCCCAACACCGTCCCTTGGGGCACCCCACAAGTAATGATTTTTGCGCCACTATTTTTACTTTTTGACTTCGATCAGTCAGATAACTTTTAAAAAGTTTATGTGCAGTACGTCTTATACCCATGTTTTCTAGAATATTTAGTAAAATTGAATGATCTATAGTATCGAATGCCTTTGCCAAATCTATAAAGACGCCAATTGATGGCATGGACTTATCAAGACTATTATAGATTTTTCTAGTAAGTACCTTTATAGCATCTTGTGTAGATCTATTTTGTCTAAAACCGTATTGCGAGTCAGATAACAACTGGTTTTTTTCCAAGAATTTGTTTAACCTCTTCTCTATAATTTTTTCGAATACTTTGGCCAGGCAGGAAATTATTGAAATCGGTCTGTAATTAGCCGTAACTGTTCTTTCTCCTTGTTTTAAAAATTGGGGTTACTGTGGCAAGTTTAAAGGCTGATGGGAAATGGCCTTTCTCTAGTGATAAATTAATTAAATATGTTATTGGTTTTGTAATATGATCACTAATTCCCTTCAATACTTCCGCTTTTATACCATCCCAGCCCGGAGATTTATTATTTTTTAATTGCATTATGATTTGCTTAACGTCTTTTTCATCGGTGGGATATATAAATATTGAATGTGTGCATGATTTCTTCGTCTCAATGTAGTTTGGATTTCTATTTACTTTGTCTGCCAATTTCTTACCTACTGTTATAAAATATTCATTAAACAATTCTGCTATTTTAATAGGATTAGCAATTAATTCATGTTTATCATTGCTTATTATATTTATTGGTGTAAGTTCAGGTTCTGTTAAAAATTCATTTATAGTGTTCCACAATGTTTTTGAATTTCTGTCGTTTTTGATTTGATTACGGTAATAATCAATTTTTGATTTTTTTATTAATTTATTTAATGTTTTTTTGTGTTGTTGGTAATTTTGTTTCAAAATTTCATTGGATGGATTTTTTTTAAGTTGGATTAACAATTTATTTTTTTTATTAATGGAATTGATTAGAGTATTCGATATCCAAGGTTTGCGCATCTTATTTTTGCTTTTAATTTTTTTATATGTTATAGATATTTGAACACATTTTTTCAGTGTGTCAATAAATTTGTTTGTTTCAGATTCTACGACATTACAGTCGAATAAGGAATTCCAGTCGATGTTCTGTATTTCATTTTTTAGTTTTTTTTTCATTGATTATTTTTATTAAATTAGTGGAAGTGTTATTTTGTATGAAACTACGATTTGGAAGTATAATCTGTGCTACAGTTGTAAAATGATCTGTAATATTTGTTTCTATAATTAATGGTAATATGTTTTTATAATTTTGTTTATTAGATTTCATAAAAATATGATCCAGACATGTTTTTGAATTCCTTTGAACCCTAGTTGGTATATTAATTGTAGATAAATAACCAAATTCACTCATTGTGTCAAAATAGCTTTGTGTGTCTTCTGTATTGCTTAATATGTCTATGTTCATATCACCTATAAATAAATTATAATCATAAGTATTATTTTCTTGGTTAAGGAAAATGTTTAACTCTTCCATAAAATTATTTACGACAATAATTGGTGATTTGTAAACAGCATTAATAATAATAATAATAACGGTATTCTCAAAATTAAATTTCACCTGCAAAAGGAAGCTGTTGTTAAATCTTATTGTTTTGTGAGAATGATACACATTAGATTTGACAAATAGGACAACACCATCGTTCTGATTTAGGTAATTGTAAATAGTAATATATCCTGGAATATTAAAAATAGTAATATCAGGAATTAACCACGTTTCCGAAAAGACGATACAGTCGAAAGAGACATTTATGTCTTCAAGCAATATTAAAAATTCGTCAATATTATGCTTTATGCTACAGATGTTATGAATTATTTTAAAATTTTTATATGGATCATTTATTTGTAAAACTTCTCTACATTCTTTTCCGTTATTTAAATGAAATGTTTCCAATTTTTTAAGGCTAAAATCTCGAATGTATGGATTCATATAAATTTGTCACTGTACCTTAAAATATTAAAACTAAGAACTAAGGATTATTTTATAAAAGTGCTTAAAAGGCTAAGGTAAAAACAATTAGAAATTAGTAGATTAAGATTAGATTAGATTAATATCTTAAATTTAATAATTACTACTTTCACAATAAAAGAGTTGTTTGGGAATTGACAAATTGCACTAGTGTACTAAAAGATGGAAATTTTACAACTACAGATTTATAGTGGATGTTTCTAAAACAATGTTATAAATATATATTTCTTACTTATTTTTGAGTAGGTGTAAGTTGGTTAGTCTGCCTAGTTATCCTTTTTGTTACAGTATCGGAGACGTGCGGCTCTTCGTTTTTTCTTTTTTTGTTTTGAATTTCTGGTTGGGGCTTATTATTAAACTTTGCAAGTTCTGCAGTAAATTCTTCTTCGGTAAATGCTTCTAGATCTGTTACTATATAAGTGTTGTTTTGTATACAAAGTTGGTTTCGTTTAATTCTGGCTTCACAGTTGCTGTATCTTGCTTTTTTTAGATATTTGTATAACACTTTTCTATTTTTGTATTCTTCTTTTGTGTAGTCTCTTGAGAATGATCTGCCGGTCCCTTTTAGATTTGACACGTTTTCTAAAATACCAAGTAATAGTTTATAGTGTATAAATTCAATTATTATGGGTCTTGTTTTTTCAGATTCTTTTTTGCCTATTCCATATAGATCCCTTATGTCATGAAATCTACATTCAGTTAAACATTTATTATTTATTACTAATAAATTATTTATATCTTTCAGTTCGTCTTCTTCCCCCTTTAGTCCATAGACCACGAGATTGTATTTCTTTGTTTTTTTTTTCAACAGATTATATTTTCTCTTTTACTTTCTTTAGATCAGATTTTAACATAATTGTTGGAAACTGGCTTAACATGGCGGTAGCCCAGTAGAAGCAGAAACTGTCACATTAAAGTTTCAGATTTAATTTGAAATTTATTTATTGATTATATATCTATAATACAGTATTTAACCACTCAATACTTGTCTACAACAGTTATTGGTAATGATAAAAGAAAACGGTGGAGACTGTAAACAATACGGACACAACAATTTTCACTATTTTCGCTATATTCTCAATGCAAATGATACTACTTTTTATTTTTTAACAATTTAACTGCGGCAAAATCAAAATAACCAAAGTTAATATAAAAATATTGTATATTAATCAAAAAATAAACCATTTTTTTGATATAACTTCAATTTTCTTGAAAAACAAATCTATTATTTGCTATAGCTATGTTGCCAATTTTTAAAGTGCCTGTATTTAATAAAATATCGAACAATCGATAACACTATCGATGGTAACGTACGGCAATCGAGTGTCAATTTCATAAAAATTATTAATTTATATCGTTTCGCTTTCTACAAAACACCTTTACCTTTAATTTCCAGCCATATCCGGCAATTTATACAACCATTTTCATTGAACTGTATAAAATATTGACTAAATATTAATATTACATCATCTCTAAAGTAATTTTAAGAAACTTTTAAACTTAATTACTTTGTGTAACCTAAAAGTTTTAAAACTTTTTTTGAAATATAAAGTATATTTTCTTATTATGCGTTGTGATAACCAACGCCTTTAACAATTAAAGAGGATAGCTGAATTGGTTTAATTTCTGTTGAGTCAGCAGTGACGTGACGTCACATCCTGGATGCTTTCAACGGTTTAGGAACTCATATAAAATATACATTGATACAATGAATTACTATAGGACTATGGTCCAAAATAGTAGGAAAACGCAACTTTGACCCCTTTTTTAAATGTACTTGACAGGAAATAACGGTCTTCAAGGTACATGGATCGATACCTATGGGTTTTCCCATTGTAATGAACTTTGAATCATCAAAAAATATCAATTTTTGACCGAGTTCTGAAACAATTTGTCCACCCATTTATAAGCTAATCAGTATTGCTATAGAGATAAAGCAGGGGCTGAACGAGGGACTTTTGATTGCGGTTATCTTGAAACCTGTCGAATTTCTGACAAAAATGATAGGGACCATTTTTGTAGATAATGTTAAGATCTTTCTTTTTTATCTAAACAAAAATTCTCTAATTTGCCTATTGTGAAAGATATTGGCGGGAAGCCAGTTTTAGGGTCCATTTTGGGCCCTTTCCGACGCAGCAGAGTTGGTAAAAGTTTTCGACCTTGAAAGCGACCACCGAGACCTAAGAGTTGAGCCACAACGGAAATCTGGACCAACTTAAGGTTTGTCTCTTCAGTTACTGGACTATTACAATATTTGGATTTTGAAATATTTCACTTAGTTTAGTAATAGGGTAAATTCGAGAGAAGAAACACTTTTCATAAAAAACTAATTGCTAAAATCAAGATTTACAAACAAATTTTCAAGATATATTGGGCCACTGTACTAATGTTCATGTAGAACTATTTATAGATGAAAATGCAAAACCAGCTTTTTGTCCGACAAAGCAAACTGCGTTTGCAGTTTTAAACAAGGAAGAAGATGAGTTACAAAGATAACAGAATATCAACACAATTTCACTTGTGATATACTCAGGACATACTTGGAGTTAAAATGGCACCTATTATATTCCAACAGACAAATTCATACTATGCTTTTTGGATCATCTGGTACGGCAGCTTACATTGACAACATGTTGATTTCCGGAAAAGCGGAAGAAGAACATTATCAAAATTTAATGAATTCGGATTTTATGTTGAACTCTCAAAATTTGGCATAAAAGAAATTAAGTACTTGGGATATATTTTAAATAAAAAGGGAATTCGATCAGATCCTTCCAAAATAGCTATTATAAGAAACATGCCTATACCACACGATATTGCCAACCTTTGTTCATTTCACAGGGTCATTAATTACTATGGACAATTCATTAAGAATATGGACAACCTTTAAATGAACTTCTAAAGAAAAATTTAAAGACATTCTAATCACAAACTCATCGTAACTGGAAACACAAGTTATTATGATAATTGAGCGTGTATCTTACATAGAATTAAAGATGGCACCACTAATGTAATCATTCAGGCTTCAAAAACTCTAACAAATACTGAGAAAACGTACAGTCAGATAGAAAAAAATGGTTTAGCTCTTCGTTTTGCAGTGATTGAATTTCATAAGATGATATATGGTCGTACATTTACCAATCAAACAGATTATACAGCACTTCATAGAATATTCGGATCCTAGAAAGGTATACCAGTCTACGTAGCCAATCGACTTTAGCGATTGGCACTCAATTTAAATTTGTATAACTTCATTTTAAAGTATTCACTATTTCGAATACACCTTCACACTCTGAAACAGAAAGATGGGGTTTCTACTATTTTAAAAAAATTTAAATTTGTTTGTTATCATCTCCATGTTTTTTTTTTTTAATTTCGACTACTTCCAAAGATGGCAAAGTTTTCCGAAATATATGTAGTGCTGTGATAAACAATAGAATAAAAAAACGACCGAATAAATCAAGGAAATTTTTATCTATATAAAATTCTGCTACGGTCAAGAAAATATTCTTATTCACGTAATAGTTTTACTCTTTACATACACAGTAGTCTGTAAAGAGTATTATCGCTTTAATTTTTCTGCCCGCTAATGCGCCGTTTTTGTCCTCACGATACGTCAAATATGAAAAATGTAGCGGTGTAGGGGTGCAGGAATATTAAAGTACTAGCACTCTTGCACTATGGAGTATTAGACTACTAGTTCAATCTATAACCTATATAAACCACGAGGCTAATGACCTAGTTGTCGAAGCCAAGACACCAATAAAAAATAAAAAACTGATGTGTCCACACTTGACTTTCCTGTCTGGTTATTACAGGATTTTTCCGGTTATTTTGTACAACCTATTGTCTCGCCCCTGTAAATATTCATTGCCAACGAAAATACTGAAAAATTAATATTTTTAAAATGTTCCCAAAATTTTTTCATTGCGGTCCATTTTAGAGAAATTATATATGGAATAAAAATTATAGGAAATGATATCGCAAACAACTTTTATTTTTCTTAAAAATTGTATTTCTGCAATGTTGCTTGAATGTTTCTGATTGTAGTGTCTGAATTAGATCAATAGATTTTCTCTAACTGCCATTTTTGACTTGTAGACCGTCAGATAGTGACCGATTTGGGCGCTCTATTTTCGCATACAAGCCTTTAAGAGGGTTGAAAAAGTACGTCGATTTTAAGTAGAATGAAACAAAATTTACGAGTGGCTCTTGGGAATAACAAATGGAAAATTCGATTTTCCTTAACAAAAAAATGTTCTTACCCAAGATGCACTTATACATTTGGGTTTTTCGGTTTTTAGGACTGGTGAAGTCTTTATACATTCGATTGGCTTGTATGTAAAAATCGGTCAAAATCTAGATTTTTGCTTACGAGGTTGTACCCTTATTTCAATCCTTTAGCCACTTGCATAATTAAACCCTTTAGTTTTCAGAATCCTAGTTTTATTGGATAATCAGTTAGTGGACACGACTTGCGTGAAAATGTGAATTTGTTTTAAGGAAAATCGGATTTTCTATATATCATCTCCAGGAGAGGCTCAAAATCGATGTACTTTTAAACCATTTTCTAGGCTTGTATTCGAAAATGCAGCATTGTCGCAACAGTGTTGTTGTAAACATACTAGCCAACCTAGCAGATTTTCTTTTGTTGGCAATGGGAATTGGTTTACGATGTAGTCTACCATATATTAAACCAAACCTCTGTTATTTAAATAATTTGTTATGATTCTAAACGTTTTTGGAGTTAAATTGAATGTATTCATAAGTTTTTGTTAGTTTAATTTTACTTTTACAATATTATATATTTATGTTCAACTCTGCAAATTATTTTAAAAGTAATACGTTAAAAGTTGAAATACAACAAAATTCAAAATATACCAAAAATACCATTTTTATATCTCCTGTCTTTCAAATGAGTAATCTTCTCTAAATAGGTCATCTTATTAGGAAGCCTTTTACCCGGATATAAAATCCCGATCAGACGAGAAATCCAGTCCTTATTGATCAAGTTTTCATTAGTTTTTGCGATTAATTAACTTTTAATTAAGTGATTAATTTCTTCAGGCGATTCCATTAATAGAAAAATGGTGTTTTTCTTGTAACCCGAGAGGTCGAATTTAGGGACGAGGGCTTTGGATGACTGCCATTAATGAATTATATTTTTTTAAGTTAAGTCGGATAATTCGCGCTCGGGTAAAACTGAAAAACCGTCATTAAAGGATAAAACTGTTCATTAAAGGTTTTGTTTTGATTTAAATTTTAAAATTTCTGCATCACCTGTTTAATTAGTAATGAATTATAAAAAAAATATAAATAAGCTTTAATTACTTCACCGGAATATTTGTAAGGAGATTACGACTACATAAGTTAAAGGTTTCAAAACCAAAATCAAATTTTTAAAAATTTACTTTATTCCGAATGCTAGAAGATTAGAACTAATTAGAGAATTATTATGGTTTTGCACTATTTATAAACTACGGTTAATCATATCATATTTCTAAGAGTCTATTCTATTCTTCATTATTCTACATATTCCTGGAATATAACTCCTACACTCTTGCATGGAAGCACAGCTCTTATGGATGTGGTTCAGGACATCAGACGACAAGTTCTACTTCTTTTGGTGGTTGAATTCTTCTTTGACGATTAATGATGTAGACTTTTCTTAAAATCCAAAATCCTATTA